CTGGACCAGCAGCGCGCTCTCTGGAAATAGCTCCGGCCCCGGCCCAGGCTCGTCCCCGGCCGGCAGCACCAAGCCTTTTGTGCACGCTGTGCCCCCCTCTGACCCACTCCGCCAGGCCAACCGCCTGCCCATCAAGGTGCTGAAGATGCTGACTGCTCGGACTGGCCACATTTTGCACCCCGAGTACCTGCAGCCCCTGCCCTCCACGCCCGTCAGCCCCATCGAGGTAAGGGTCCTCTCCAAGGGTCAGGCTGGGGCCACCACCCGGACTGCCTCCCTGCAGGGTTTCTTTCTGCTGGGATCGGAGGGTGGGGGTGGGGTAACGGAGTGAATCAGCTCCGGGATGGGGGTAGAGGACAGGGTTTCCGCACCTGGAAACTAGGGCGGAAAGGGGAAAGGTGGAATGCGGTCCGAATGCGAGGGGGCGCGGCGGCCCAAACTTGTTTTTCCTTTTAGTATTAAAGACCCTACCCCAAAACAAGCCCCCACCCACTGAGTCCCGAAGGCGGGCGAGGCCCAAAATACGTCCCAAAGTCACCATCCTCGGGCTCCCCGAGAAGCTAGAATGTGTGTTCAGTGGCCCCAGCCTCCCAAGCCCTTGCTTTGAAAAACCAAAGTGTATGCTGGGAGGGGATTATAGCTCTGGCTCTAAGAAAACCAAAACATATTGAATGCCCCTTCTCCAAATCCATTAGAGCTTGGAGAATGCAGGCAGGACCCAGACTGGGGGCGGGGGCTGTGCCTTCTCTAAGGGCGAGAATCTTCTCTGGTGGGTATGGAGGAGGTGCCGCCTCGGATTGAACCTTGGGGCTATGATGGTCTTTGCAGACCGTCGCGGAGGGGTTTTAGAACCGTAAAAGCCAGGAATCTAAAGGGTTTCCCCTCTTTCTCTGTGTGACCCTCCCTCCCCATGTGACCCTGCAGCTCGATGCCAAGAAGAGCCCGCTGGCGCTGCTGGCGCAAACATGTTCGCAGATCGGGAAGCCCGACCCCTCGCCCTCCTCCAAACTCTCCTCGGTCGCCTCCAACGGGGGCGGCGCGGGTGGTGCAGGCGGCGGCGCTGGGGGCGACAA